GCGTAATTGCGTATAAAACTTGCGTGAGCGGAATTTATTGTTTTGCTACAATTCATTGTAGCTCCAAACGATCGATTGGTCGGGGAAGCAAAGTATCTGACGTATGTTAATGCGCATGTAACTACTTTTAGGTTGATGGAAATATATATTGTGGAACATGTATATTGTTTTTTATATTAGATTATTCCCGGTGTATTCGCGAAAAAAATATCTCGTTACATATGTGAGTTACAAACTTATTTGTACAGCGGATGGACTCTCTACTTTTACTGCCTTTTCCATATATGTATCTTTTTCTCGCTTTATTTATTCTTTAGTAAAACAAATAAATTTTTTGAGAGTATAGGACGATGCGATAATGCGGTCCGACTTTGCATAGATGTTTGCACTGTTTGCACTGTTTGCACAGATTTCTAGGATTCATGCAAGTTGTGTTATACATAAACGTTTGATAGTATGAATGCGTTTCTGTTGTTTATTCGAAACGTATTTATTGACAATCCGTCGATAACGTTACATACAAAAGCGTGTGACAGCAGTTGCGGTTCAACATATATTCATATTTAGCGTGATATTTATGGAAAGCTTGAGAAATGTAAATTTCGTATAGTTAAACAGATTGAATTAAGCGGATGGTGTTGTAGCAGATATTAAGCTGAATATTATAAAGCAGAAGAGTAGAAATATTCTGAGAATTTTTCTAAAGACAAACACATCAAAATAAATTATAATTTTATAATAAATAATTCTAGTCAATAATAAAAAACAAAAATCTATAAATATTAAGGCAATCATTTTAAAAGTTTGATATTGCGTCAATTTTTTTTCAAGCCAAAGATATAAATCTAGCATAAGAAACACAAATAGATGGATTTGATGTTCGCGATCTATAAATGCGCGAATCTTTATCTCCGTGTAAATTCTGGCGAGGCAGAATTGATGAGGTTATCTAATGATGCAATTCGAGCGAATTACCAGCATCCACTATAACCGTCAATCTGTATAGACGTGTTAGTAAAGATACTGGGTGTAAGCGGTCGTACATATGTATGTCCCGAACGATTAATAAAAAATATTACCAAAAAAAAATCTAAGTATCAATATTTTTTAAAATATTTTTTTGTGTCAGCTTTTTAGTTTATAAAAAATTCGTGTATTTTTATATAATTTTTTAAAATCTTAGCGTCAAGCTGCGAATAGATAGCAATCCTTTCGTCATTTCATTCAAAATACGTTTCATACTAAAATTTTTTTCTTAAATGCTGCAAACATATCGATTTATTTATTTTTTTATTTATTTCTTTGTTATATATTTAAGAAACACAATGTATAAAAGTAAAATCAAATGTTCAATATTCTCCTGATGCAGACTAAGAGTTAATAAAGAAAGAAGAGAAAAATTTCGCAAACTTTGCACGCGTAAGAAAGTAAGTTTATGACTAGAAACATACTAGCCACACAAGTTGAAAGAAATTGAACAAACTAGGAAAGAAGGCTCATAAGAAATTAGATTTTACGTGCAAAAATTGCGTTTTATTTATTTATTTTTTCGAAGCAAATAAAAATAAACTATATGTTTACTTTTATTTATTGTATGTTTCTCGAAGAAAGTTTATATTGTGTATGATATATAGAGGAGAAGTTATATTATGTATATATCGGCGCACGAGGTATTATTTTCTTATAATTTATAGTAAAAATAATATTTATGCCGTATAAAAATTCTCGCGTAGTTTCGCTTTAAAATATACAAGGATTTTTCTGGTTCAAAGCTGCCAGATATTTCTTTCATCGCAGGTTTAAAAGGATTTTTGGCGATATTGGAACGTGTTGCAAAGTAGCGATAAATGAAAGCTACTGAAAGAAGGATGAAAGAATTGCATCAATGGCCGAAAGATTGCGCATCAATTAATAGTCCCAATAATGATGCATTATTGCATGCGTAATTCATCTCATTCACGCGAGCCACTTAATCAGTGGACACTTATATAAACTAACGCGTTGACGCGCATTATCATTCGAAAAACGAGAAGATAATTCGATCAACATTCGCGTATCAATTTACCGCGATAACTTTATTAAGCTCGCTCGAATGAAACAATCTCTTCGAATTTGCATCGAGTTTTATTTGCATATCGGAAAACTAGGCGAAAAATATTACAATGGTGACGCTTTTCTAAACAATTCGGTGATTTAAATTAAAGATCGTGCGTTATATGTATATGGATGCAACCAGACTTGCCATGTGGTCTGACTCGATAAGACTTTTTCTACTGGAACCGGTCACGAGTGAGGGATTGATCGGGATAATTGTGATGGAATGAATTAATAATTATTATTTCTTACTCAATTTTACAATTTCTATTAATTAATAGTTATTACTTTTTTGACATTATTTTATAATTAATCATTATTGAGTTTATTATATTGTACACAGTACCATATAATTGAGATATATATTGATATAATTATCAATATTGAAAGTTAATTTCGTTGATAAACATTTTGGTATTACAATCAATATTTATTAATGTGCACTTTCGCGCGTGCGTGCGTGCGTGCGAGACACCGATGACTGATGGTTCGATCAATCGCGTCGCTAGCTATATTGATTAAATTATCATTTAATTTTATATTACAAATGCATTGTATATTACCAATTCTTAAAATTTTCAATAGCAATTACGATAAAATGATGATATTTATTCTCCTTATTCTGTATATAATTTACTACAAATATTTTTCGCGATTGTGTAGTCGATCATTATCGGCGAAAATAAAGCAGCACATATGCTTATTAGTAGTAAGAACATTTTCTTGCGAGAGAGAGAGGAGAACACTAGTAATATAACATGGAATAATTATACTTTTGCTCTTTGTAGAATCCTTGCGTATTCTTTACACACATTGCCGTTGCTACAACGTAATAGAATATCTCATTTGGTGAACGCGTTTGAATTAACGTCTTAAAATGAGAAATTACGGTAGAGAGGATTGTGTCTTCAGGTCTTTAAAAAGGCGTGCTCGACAAGATTTTTTTTCTCGAGAAAAGAATCGTTTTACTTTGAACGAAACGGAAAACGGGCAAAAATAAAATGTATGGAAAGCGCATATGTACATATGTACATTCCGTGACATTTATTCGATTTCATTGGTCTTTTTATATATTCACGTTTATTAATCGTCCAAGATTCCTAATAAAAAGTCACACATCGGGACTAATTGCACATTGATGACAAGATATCTAATCTCTACCCCGACGTCTACCTATCCGTCTGGGTATTAATTAAAAATGACACGTGACGAAGCTTCGCACGATAAAAAGAAAAAAAGATACAATAGAAAGATCTCAAGAATTCAAAGTATAGACATTATTGACAATCTAGTACTATGTTTCGCGAGAAACGTTATTGCGTGCAAGAGTTGCGCAACTCGAATTTCCGAAGTAATTTAATGAACTCGCTCTTTCTCTCTCTCTCTCTCTCTATCTCTCTCTATCTCTTGTTGTCGAGAGGTGCGTGCTTTAACGCGAATCGAGAGATATAGAAAGCTTCGAATCTAGCAGATGTTGGCACGGCAAGCAACTCGCGCGCAAACTAACCGCCGACTGACTCGCAGCATGGTAATTGAAAAGCGGGACGGCAACCCTAAATTAGGAGCGGCAAATTAAGCCCTTGGTGTTAATGAACCTGGACGATGGCGACAACAACGAAGACGACGACGACGATAACGGTCGGTACAACAACGATCACGACGGCGATGATGATGGCAACATTTACATTTCGCAGAAATGTTTATCATTTCGCACGTAGTGATACTTAAACACTGATATCGTGAGTTTACATTAATCCTTTTGCTATTGAATTTTTTTGTACAATCATAATGATTATCGATAAAAATTTGAAATAATTATAGAATTTTATAAAACTAAGAATAATAAATTTTGAAAATTATTATTGTTTCGGCTTTTTTGTTAAGAGAGAAAAAATTTATTTTAAATTTGCCATATAAGAATCTACTGTTACATTCAAGCTTGACAATTCTAATAGTAAAAGATCTTATCTATATAGATAAAATAAGTTGAAAGAAAAATGAAATAATCTCTTTTGACAAGATGGAAAGATTGCTAAAGATTGAGAAATAATATATAAAAAAATTTGAAACTTTAAGAACTTATATATATAATTAAATTATCTTATATATATATATATATAAAATGTAATACGTATAATGTATTACCGATACAATAGAAAGATCTCAAGAATTCAAAGTATAGACATTATTGACAATCTAGTACTATGTTTCGCGAGAAACGTTATTGCGTGCAAGAGTTGCGCAACTCGAATTTCCGAAGTAATTTAATGAGCTCGCTCTTTCTCTCTCTCTCTCTCTCTATCTCTCTCTATCTCTTGTTGTCGAGAGGTGCGTGCTTTAACGCGAATCGAGAGATATAGAAAGCTTCGAATCTAGCAGATGTTGGCACGGCAAGCAACTCGCGCGCAAACTAACTTTTCTCACTTGCTGTCCTCTATTGAAATTCATCTTCTCATGAATCATCCTGTGATGGATGGTGAAGGATAAAGCCGGTAAAAGAGTGTTTGTTCTCGGATCGAGTAGGTTTCGAAGGATAGGAAGAATCCTGAGAGAAAAAGTTACGCACGATAACGGCGTAAATTTGCTACCGTCTCCTTGATTTCATCATATTATTCGTGGTTTATATTTAGACTTAATTTGTAGATCCGCTGCAAATTTTTTCTTTTAAACTTCTCCTATCTCGACGCATGCATATGATGCAAGAGTTTGAGATAAAAATATATCGCCACATGAAGAAATATGCAACCTAAATATAGGTCATCGTGCAATTTAATACGAACGAATGTTATAAAAATAAGGAAAAAGCGATATCTGCAAAATTTTTTGTACCCGAAATCTGGTTTATTGTCTGTAATAAATATTCTGCCGATATGTTATCGTCTGTATACGTCTCGTTTATATTTCAGATGAACGTTGTTAATTTACATTCTTCCTGCACGATGATACTGCTCGGCA